GGCCCAGCATAAAAGCGAGCCCCCTAGATGGCCGCTTCCCATCAGTCGCCAGCTTCCATGCGACAGCCAGCTAGCCCAGCCACCCAGCTGGCGCCTGCCTCCTTTGGCCCGCTGGCCGAGGCAAGAAAGAGGAGCTGCCGCCCTACCTGAACGAGGTACGCGGGACGGTCTTGAAGCTCATCACGGACCCCGAGACGAAGAAAGTGGACCCGGAGATCTTCCTCCCAGGAGCCGACGAAGTGGTCGTGGACGAACCCAGCAGCCGAGTTTCCAGCGGATGGTGGGTGAATGGGTGAGCACCAGGGCCCCCATTTCGGGGTGTCCGATTATAGCTCCTTAGAGGTTTTTCGGGATGTCCATTAACCACCCCAAACCGGGGGGCCCTGGTAGATACCGAAGTTCCTTCGTGCGGTTCTCGCCCACCGAACCCTCTGAGCTTCGGTCGGCTGCTCTTCGCACCGAGTCGGATGGGATTGATTGGGGGGAATATCTTAGCCGATTGGGATGGGTTAAGTGCATCGGCAGATATACTTTTAATTTTACACCCTGAAACTGAAACTCAGCAGAATCTTCTTCAACCAAAACCACCTGCCAAGGGCTGGCCCTGGTTGGCCCTTTGGCTCATCATTGAAGGTCCATGCTCCGCAACCACATCGGACGCTGCCCGCATGTATTGCACATGGTTTTTTGCCCCTTTCCTCCGCCCATCGTCCCCCCCACGTTGCCAACCACTGCGGAGAGGACTTTGCAACCACAAGGGCTTGGAGCCGCTGTATCCCATCTACCAACATGCCTTGGTACATGGAAGTCCCGATGCCCGCGAGGTGGCTGCGAAAGGCTGGGGCTTCGACTCGAGGAGACTTGGGAGCAGACTCGTGGACTGGAAGGGACCTTCAAGCTCGAGGGATCCAGTCGTACCTTCTCAGAAGGTATTTGGATCCTCGTGTCTCCAATCACCTTTTGAAGAGGTCTGTGGATCCATAGGGAAGGTCATTCAAAGCAATTTGATGGCCATATGCTGTGAAGTCTTCTTCCCTGGCTACGTCATGACGATCCCATGCATTTCCTACATCTGCACTGGGCACCAAACTTCCTCCCCAGCTCGGTACGCCGGTGAACCCCCGGAGGTCACGTCGCCCAAGAACACCGGAGGGTCAGGGCGGTGCGGTGAACGCAGGCCTCGGAGAGCTGGTGGACCATACCACAGAGAAGGCCCTGGCGCCTTACGCGGTGAAGATCACAGGCGGTTTTCACCGGGTGGAGAGCCGGAACCGGTGGCTCCGCGGAACCGGTGGGGAGCCGGGTGCGGAACCAAAAGGGGGAGAGGCATGACGGTAAAGGAAGGTGAAACATGCCGTTCTTGAACATGCACCATGAAACAACCACATTCAATAAACATGTTTTTGAAGGTAAGAAGTCATGAAAGGCTGGCTCCAAACATCTTCCGGCTGGCCTCCATTGGGGAGAGAGAAGCCTGCGAGGCTGGCTTCCAACAAGTAGTCGTCAGATTTGTTTGATTGTCATTGAGCTGTCGATGGAACAGAGCATCCTCGTGTCGTAGTCATCCTCGTAGTCATCCTGGCTATGTGGTCACCACTGGGTGCTTCTTCAAGGCCCCTCAATCTTCTAACTTTAATGGACCTTTGGGAAGAAACACGTTGGCGAAACACATTGAGATACTTGTCTTTTTGTTCTTCTTCCTTGAGCTCAAAGGCGGTGTTCTTTTTCTTCTCTTTGGAGGGACCTCTTTGATTTTAGTTCTTTTGCCCGACATCACTGGCGAAATGTATCGGAGGTCCTTTGATCCGTATCGTCGGCGACAAGTTCCCCGGGAGTGTGAAGAAGGCCATCGTCGAAGCCTTGCGGTCCTTGCTGGCACGTGGAGGCGGGGGTATATATTGAATCCAAGAGCTCGGCTATTGACAGTGGCCAGTGACTCAGTGGCCAGTAGTGGTTTGTTCCCCAAACAGTTTACTGTTGGGGTTCTATCTTAGAAAAATAGAGCTGGCCACACTCACTGGCCGCGCCCCTGAACTCTGTGGTCTCTGTGGCCCGGCTCTGTGTCCGGGTCTTGTCCTCCTCTTGTCATTCTCTTGGCCGCGTGAACTCTGTGGCCGGGCTCTGTGTCCGGGTCTTGTCCTCCTCTTGTTGTCC